TAATAGTTTAATACTATATATTATTTCAAGAAGCAGAAACTTTCATAAAGGATAACTTTTTTTTGGAAAATTAATAATAAAAAAGTTTCCCATATGTTGCGAACTTAAGCGGAAACATTGGACAACTCGTGCAATGGAAATATATTTTCAATTTTGTACAAATTTGTAGGTACTCATGCGTTTTTAACTGAAATGGGCACTGAAAAAGCACTGGTGCTTCTTTTTAACTAAAAATGCATTCGGGCAAATTTCCCAAAAATTATCGACAATTTCCATTGCACTCGTCATTTAGAATTTCATACATCTGTCAAAACTGACATTCCAACAATAAACTGACATGTTTTGATTGTTGATTTACGTTTCATGCGTGTATCAAACGTCAAATTATTGAAGCAATATAATTGGCGCGACACTGGTGTTTTAACATTTTTTGACAAAAAATTTAAATTTTTGATTCATGAAATTCTCTCATAAAAGCTATTTTCGGGTTCGAAAAAAGGACGGTCCTAGAACGGTTCAAAACAAACGGATACGCCGAAAAACAAATTAGAAGAAGTTCACTCAGAAGTAGAAGTTAGTATTGCCAGTACTAGCAGTTTATTAATTCCGACTAGTACCTACCTATTGTCTGGCTAGCGAAACGGCGAACTGCAATAGAATTTGCTGCTTTGCCAAACTTGACGGAAACAGTCATGAACAAGTTGGTGACATATTTTTTTTTGCTATATGGGCATGTGTAGTATTTTGAAATAGAAAAAAATCCGGCAACATTGCGAAATGATAGATGTGGAGAGGCGTTATTATTCAGAATATATGATTCTATTGGTTAAAGCCTAAGGTTAGAGCCTGAACGACAGCACAGTGGCGTGGTTATTGGCGAAACTTAAAAAAAAAATCTAATAATTTTATTGGTTCATTTCCTTGGTGTTTTCGGTGCCACTGATACCAGAGACATGGCTGTCATCAAGCGGTCTCAGTTGAGGTGTCAATGAATATTCTTAGGTTACGCCTCACTTTTCTTTCCCCTTTCGTCTCTATCAACTTACCACTTGCCAGACTATACTTGCATTGCTGTTAGAGAAGAGAAGTTGGATGCCTCTAGTATTCACTTTAACAATTTACATAATTGTAATAAAGTTTATAATAAATGAATATTTTCATTGATTTCAATGTATCATTTTCACTTTTAGGCACTAGTGCCTAAAAGAGTGTCATTTCAAAATTCTAATGGATGTCAAAATTTGTCAATTTTATAACGCTTTTAGCTATTTATACAATAAGCTACGAAATGAGCGTCTTTTAGGCACGCGACGTGAAAATTGTCCAACGAGGCAAAGCCGAGTGACTAAAAGACATCGTTTCGTAACGTATTGTATACAAGATTTTTTCTACTGAAATTTTATAATAAAAAAACACAATTTTATTTCATGTGATTAATGGCCATTTCCACCAAACTATAACTAAGCTTTGATTAACTATAAAGCCCTTAAAAGTTAAGGGACGCTCAAATATAATTTCGTTCCACCATTGTTTTTGAGTGCACACTTAGCTAAGTGTCGTAAAGCTTTGGCAACATTGAATTTTAAGTGAAATATTTGCGTACTTTTTCGTTTTCACATACAAGTCGTGTCAATGTTATCTGTCATTCGACGTTTCCCGCTAATTTTTATAAGATGAAAATAATAATATTAAAAATAATTGTTGCTGTTGAGTGTTGTCCAGGTTCGGTTTATTTCATAGAGGAGAGGTTTAGATATTCATAGTTTATCCTGCATTCTGCATTGCGTGTGAACGAACACGAAGGTGTTTAGAGCAGCGTGGAGTCGGGGAATAGAAACAAACATGAACAGTTTATTCAAAAAAAGCCGGACACTCAACTACACAATAAAGGAAAAAGTGCCGCTATTAGATATTTTTTGTGATGCTGATTTTATTATTGAGCAAGCTGAAGCAGTTAAAAGATGCAGCAATTCTAAAGAAATATCTACCTCCAGCAATGCGTCTCAAGCTCAAAGTTCCTCCCCTGTGTCCAGTCCAGCAACTAAAAATAATGAAAATCCTAAATCTGCTGACCCGGAAATTTTTTATAATGATCCCCAACCCGGATGCTCTAGAAATGTTGATGACCTTCCTGCATTTTCCGAAAATATGAATACGCAACCTGGATGTTCCAAGAGTTTCCCTGTCCCGACTTCTGGTCCGTCAAAATCACTCACGTTAGTGTCGCCATCTCTGGTGTCGCCTTTTGCGATTTCCCCAGTACCTTCCATACAAAAGAAAGTAACTAATCGTGGAAAAAATTCTTCTGTCTGAAATTATAACGTCTTTTCCATACAAAAATGACTTAGAAACTTCTGTTGAAAAAATAAAAAATATTGGTGAAAAGGGAAAAACGAAATGTGTTTGGCAAAACTTTGGTCAAGGGTAAATCGAAATCCCAACCAAAACCTCAAAAATCGAAGAAGACTGTTAAACCCTCTGAGTCTGAGAGTGAAGAGGATGGAATATTTATTCCTGATGATGAGGATAAAGATGTGGAAGAATTCGGAACCCTTCCTGAAAATGAAGATGCAACGTACATTTATTGTGAAGGACTTTTCTCTGAAGATGTCAAGGGCGAGTTGTGGGTGTGCTGTTTGATGTGTCATATGTGGTCACATGAGACTTGTGCGGACACAGAACGCGGCGAATATATTTGCGATTTTTGCAAATAAGTTTTTTTATGTCACATTCTTTAGAAATAATTTTTTTTTTCTACTACCGTGCGTAAATTACTCACTTTACACACTATTCAGAAGACGTGAAATTAGACTTCACGCACTAGTGCGTAAAGTGAAAATACTTCATGCACTAGTGCGTAAAGTATTTGTCTAAATCTATTTTTCACACATATTTGATTGGAAGTAGAAAAAAATTTGTATGCAATACGTGCGTAAAGCACCTTTGTTCACTCATGTGATTGTCACATTCGCCTTCGGCTCGTGCGTCAAAATTCACATTCGTGAAAAAAGGTTCACTTTACACAATTGTTGCATAAATAACTATTTTCACGGTTTGAGAAGACTTTTTGTTACTTTTATAGGGTGTCTCATATTTCAAGCACTTTACACAAATCTTAAAAATTTACACTTTTTGTATGTTGAAAAACACAGAACTAATGGGTACATTCAGGCGGTCCCAGCGGCTTAGCTCAGCCTCTCAGCAGGAACTTTATTCTCGAAACCAAGGAATAGCGTTCTCATAAGAATGATTACTCTGTCATTATCAGTGTTATGCCGGACGACAAAGACAGAACCTTCGTTCCAATGAGAACGCTGTTCCTTGGTTTCGAGAATAAAGTTCCTGCTAAGAGCCTAAGCTAAGCCGCTGGGACCGCCTGAATGTACCCAATGTTAACGATTTTTTCAAAAATGTGTTTATAACTATAAAGTAAATGCTCTTAGTAATTGATTTCCCAAGTTACAGGTTAATTAGTCGAAAAAAACTAAAAAATATTTTCAAAAAACAAAATGTGGCCCATATTCGGACCTTCTCCTCTATCAATAACATCAAAAATTGAGAACATAATCGAAAATAAAAATAAAAACAGACGGAGTATCTACACCAGAAATTAGAAAATTGAGATCATTATTTATCTCAATTCAATTTTAACGTTTGGTTGTGTCAACAATAGCTATTTATGTACCAAGGGGATTATGTAGATTATAATGCCCGAAGGCGAAACTAGCCCGAGGGCCTATGGAACGAGGGATATATTTCGCCTGAAGGGCATTATAATCTTGAAATCCCCGTGGTGCATACAATGCTTTATTTTCTACTCAACACAATGTTTTTTCATCAATTTGTTATTAACAAAATCAGTTAAACTTGTGTGACAGAATATTGTTATGTATTTTGACATGTACCTGCACCTGTGACCTGTACCTGTACCTGCGACCTGTACATCGAAACGAAATAAATTAATATATCTATAAACATCTCATAAGGCAAGGCAACGATGGTGGTCCTGTGGGTTAACGCGCTGGACTACATGGGAAACATTGATGGTAGACCGGGTTCGAATCCTGGCTAGACCGAAAATTATTTTCGGTCAGACATTTAGTGGCTATAGGGTAAAGTGCAAATTAATAGAACAACAACAACAAAAACACCTTAAGGTATTATAAGCGGGCGTTATAGATCATAACGCCCGCAAAAGCGGGCGTTATGGATCAGGTTGTTATAGGTGTGTTAACGTATTTCGTTTCCTAGGTATTATGGATCTATAATAGTAAAGTAGAAAATAAAAACATATATGATGCAAATTGCTTGCGCTTATCATCGCCACTTTGTTAAGGGAGGAATAAGCCTAGAAATGTCTAGGCTTAGTTAAGCTTATCTTAATGAGACTAGGTTAGACCGGTGGAAACAAAATTATAATATAAGCGGCACTTAACGTTAAGTAAACTTAAATTTGCGTTGGTGGAAACGGCCATAAGTCGATTACGCCCAAAATCTTTGTTACCTGCTTTTGCTTGACACCTTTCACTTTTCATGCGATTTTTTTTTCAAGATTCGATATCAATAATAAAAATCCCAGAAAGTAGGTAACAACACAAAGTTCTGTTTTGAGAAACCCAAACGTTCAATTCAATAATTACATTTTTAATATTCATAATAAATACAAAACAAAATTGAAATCTGTGTTTAGTGTGTTTTTTATTTCTGAATAATGAATGACGCTTTTAGGCACTAGTGCTTAAAAATTACTTTTACGCACTCAAAAATCACTTTCACGCATTCAAAAGTCACTTTTACGCACTGAGTGCTTAAAAGTAATTTTTACGCACTCAGTGCTTAAAAGAATGTCGTTTTAAAACTAAAATGACAATCGAAAAGTTGCTATTATGATAGTAGACAGTAGAAGAAATTAATTAAAAAGAAAATACGAACGAAAAAAATTGATGATTGAACGTATGCGCCAATTACACTGCGCATTATATTATTGAATTTTGTTTCAGGTTGTTGAAGTTTCTGATACATCCGACCAGGAACCAGAAGGCGACGAGATTTCAGAAAAAAGCGAAAGTGAACATGAAACTGGTGCATCTGGCCGAAGTCGAAGCCGCAGCTACAGTAGAAGTCTGAGCAAATCAAGTTTTACTAGGAGCAGAAGTCGTAGCTATTCCCATGAAGATAGTTCTAATCGAGGCTCTAATTCAGATAAAAGTAACCGTTCCAGAACAAACTCTAGAAGCAGGAGCCGAAGTAGGAGTCGTAGCAGAAGTCGTAGTAGGAGCAATTCCAAGAGCTCGGAGAGATCAGCATCTAGATCCAAATCCAAATCCCGTAGCCCAGAAGAAGACGAAATGCTTCGAAATAAAGATTTTAAAGGAGAAAATCTGCCGAAGATTGATAAAGATTTGCCTCCCTATTACCCAGCTGTACAAGGTTGCAGATCTGTAGAAGAATTTCAGTGCTTAAATCGGATTGAAGAAGGCACTTATGGGGTTGTCTATAGAGCTAAGGATAAAAGGACTGATGAAATAGTTGCTTTGAAAAGATTGAAAATGGAAAAAGAAAAAGAAGGTTTTCCGATTACGTCACTGAGGGAAATTAATACTCTGCTAAAAGGTAGGACATTTGGTTTATTTCTTTGAAAATATTTGAATTTCTATAGAAAGTGTTTTTAGGTCAGCATGATAATATAGTGACTGTGAGGGAAATTGTGGTGGGCAGTAATATGGATAAAATATTCATAGTTATGGATTATGTGGAGCATGATTTAAAGTCGCTAATGGAAACAATGAGGCATAAGAAACAAAGTTTCATGCCTGGAGAAGTTAAGTGTCTTTTGAAACAATTACTGCAAGCTGTAGCGCATCTACACGACAATTGGATTTTGCATCGGTAAGTCAATGTTTTTGATATTGTTATTCGATTTGTGGTACCTATTATTATAGTAACTTTTGTGGCTTTTCACAATAAACTGGTGGACAGTTAGTAACTTTGCAACATGGAAAATTTTACCCAAATTCAAATCTTGATATTTTTAGAATGGAAAGAGATATCGAGTAGCGGTGTGCGGGAGGTTCTTGACCAACCCTTTGAGAACAGGTACAGGGTTCGACCAGTATATTTCTTTTATTTGTCCACTTATGCAGGGTGAGCAAAGGAAGTCATGTTTATTTAGCAAAGTTTGGTGTTATGTCAGAGTCCTAATTTTTGATCTTGGAAATTTTTGTATGCATCTTTTTGTTCTTTGGACTATCCTGAAAAAAGTAATTTCTGAATTTTTTTAAAAGTTGGCTATGACCCCTAAAAATAGGGACTTTTTGGGGTTTCTCTTGAGAATGGGTATTTTTGCTCAAGCTGTTGCATAAAGTGGAGTTTCTTGCGCCAGAGAAAACATTGAAGTACCCATTGAACGTTATTGCCTCCAATGGCGTCCAGGAAAATTTTGCTACTTTCACACCGAATTTATAAATTATATTACGCAATTAAACAGCTTAATGAATACATCCAAGTTACTACTCTTAATACAGGGGTGTATTCCAGTGGCATAACACCAAGAGCATTTTTTTGGTTTGATGAGAAGTGCTAATAACTTGAAAATTAGTATTTTTCAAAATGCTATGATGCTGGCCAGCACTAATGTTCATCTTTTATCTGGAATCTTTTATCTTTCTCATTCAGTATTGGTGTATCCGCTTGGGTAAAAGGGACCTTCTTTGAATAACTTTTCGCAATTAATGTCTTTAGGCTCGACTTCGTATTCTTTTTTTTTATCATGGATACTTATTCTTTTTTTTAATAAACATGCAATATGCAATTGTAGTGTCTCCTGAGAAGTAATGGAAACCAACTTATACACAATAGTCAGTGTTGTAGGAGCGGGGATAGATTTAAATGGATCAGTGAGATATTGGAATGCATGAGTAAGATCTGTGACGACAAACGGTTTTTAATCGCCAGGTTGGACACTTTCCAATTTTCCTTGAATTTGACATTAAGGAATTGTATGGCCTTTTCATTTACTGATGAGAACAGACCTAACTTTATAAATCATTTGTTGAATCTGATATTCGATAGTGTGTGTCCAAGATAAGGATGGGATAGCATTAGGAACAGGAACTAGGAAACGAATGCTTTCGAAAAGAATGAATGAGTCACAAAAAATCTTCTATGAAACACGTCGCAAAATGGCTGTTTTTTTGCACACAATATGTTGGACCACTCGCTTCGCTCTTGGCCCAATCTTCACATTTAGTGCAAAAAACACGCTCTCTTTACAACTTGTTACATACATAGCTATTTTGAGAGTTCAATTTATAACAGTTTTATCTTTTTTTTTTTAAATTTTTATCTATATTTTTGTTTGTTTATACTATATTTTATAACATAATGTGCATTATCCATGTATTTACCAAAAGTTGTTTGGAGAAAGATAGAAAAATATAAGAAATATAGATTCAAAAGTAAGAAAACGGTTAACAAAATTGTTGGTCCCGGTGCCGATCTAAGTAATAGCAAATATTTAATGCAAGCATTTGTAAATGGTCAGTCTTGCCAAGCATACATTGATTTTGGGAGTCAATGTGATATCATGAGGGAGGATACTTTTTGTAAATTTAGGGCTGCCATTTATGAAATTTGTTACCTAGGACAATTTTTACAAAAACCCCGGATTCTAACCCCTCAAACCCGGACACCACTAAAGGGTAGCCCATCTAAGGCAGAAGATTTTTTTTGGGTGCCACGCCCAAAAAAGTTTATTTCAAGCCTTCGAGAACCACTCATTATTTTGACAAAAAAAAAACATTTTTTTGGGGTTTTTTATAGCTTTCACCGAGCTCCAAACATGACTAACGACACGTGAACGTGAAACTTGAGTCGCGCAAACGCGGGCTAAATAAAACTGATGATGTCGATTGACGATTTCCATGATTCTTGTCAATTTCTCGGAGTTATTCGTGATTTTTTCAAGATGCCATAAAGCGTAAAACACGGATAACTTCAAAAAATCCCCCTGGACGTCCCCGGAAGCCTTTAAAACTAGGACAAATCCGGGGAAATCCGGACGGATGGCAGCCCTATGTAAATTGAAACGACTCAGGTGATACGGTTATCGAAGGATATGGAGGTTCGATAATAAAGCCAATCGGCATTACGGAAGCAGAATTGAGTATTGCTGATATCAGTGCCAAAACTAATAGTTATTTATGTATCAAGGGTACTAAGTAGATGATTATGCCCTGAGGGCGACAGTCTTACAAACCCGAGGGCCTCTGGCCCGAGGGTTCGTAAGTCGCCCGAGGGTATATATCTATTAGTACCCGTGGTGCATACAAACTTTTATGTCATACCAGCTTGTTGTGAATAATAAATACCTGGGAAAAAAGTGTCACTTCGCAAATTGTCATTACTGTGCAAACATCATAATTTTTTGACAAAAATAATATGTTTATCAGCGTAATTTTATATTTTGTTAATATAGAATAAGTTAATTGAAAACTGTTTTTTCCGTCTTTATGCCCGCGCGGGCCATAATGTGTACTTTATGCCCGCACGGGCATAAAGTAATGAATTATGTAGATGGTATCTAAGGTATAAAAACACAATAATGTATTGGTATGACATAATAGTTATTTATGTATCAAGGGTACTAAGTAGATGATTATGCCCTGAGGGCGACAGCCTTACAAAGCCGAGGGCCTCTGGCCCGAGGGTTCGTAAGTCGCCCGAGGGTATATATCTATTAGTACCCGTGGTGCATACAAACTTTTATGTCATACCAGCTTGTTGTGAATAATAAATACCTGGGAAAAAAGTGTCACTTCGCAAATTGTCATCAGTGTGCAAACATCATAATTTTTTGACAAAAATAATATGTTTATCAGCGTAATTTTATATTTTGTTAATATAGAATAAGTTAATTGAAAACTGTTTTTTCCGTCTTTATGCCCGCGCGGGCCATAATGTGTACTTTATGCCCGCACGGGCATAAAGTAATGAATTATGTAGATGGTATCTAAGGTATAAAAACACAATAATGTATTGGTATGACATAATAGTTATTTATGTATCAAGGGTACTTACTAAGTAGATGATTATGCCCTGAGGGCGACAGCCTTACAAAGCCGAGGGCCTCTGGCCCGAGGGTTCGTAAGTCGCCCGAGGGTATATATCTATTAGTACCCGTGGTGCATACAAACTTTTATGTCATACCAGGGGGACTTTATTTGAAATCAATGCAATTTTGCGTACACGCAAACGACGTCATTTGTGGCGTAGTTGTCAACCTGATGTTTAGAATGGTACCCCAACAAACACGAACTGGCTGGTCCGACAACGGGACGAAAGCGATTTGCCGAACTGCCGTGTGCGGCCCGCCTACGTCGGCTGGCTCGGCGTGTAGGTAGGGCATGTCTGCCAGGCCGTAAGGTGGCTAAAAGTCGGCTAGCCAACCTTTAGCCTCGGCAAAGCTTGGAATAACCGACGACGGGCCGATGGTAGATAGCCGAGCCGGTAGAGGCTCGGCAGGCCATCCGCGGCTCGCAAGGGGCTATCCTCTTATAAACCGCCATTATTATCTGCCAGAAAAAGGCGCAGTCGTCCCGAAACATTTGTATTTCAATGTTTCTATGTTTTCATGAAAACATAGACCTAATTGCCTTAAAAATTAATTCGAAAAAATCTACCGTAAATTTTCCCAATTTTTGTACTGGGTTATATACTTGTCCAACATGGTATGGTCTTATGTTTAAAGTTGAAAAAATGTACGGTAAGATTTTTTGCAAATTAATTTTCAAGGCAATTAGGTCAGTTTTTAAAACAAACAAAAGCATTGAAATATCTTTAAAAAAATTGAGATTTGCATAAATCATGTTACAGTTAAATTCACTTTTTACCTCCTCCCTTATCACATCTCCATGAATTACCAATAACCCTGGTATTCACACTATGAAAATTAGGTTTTTAATTTAAAAAAAAAGTTTTAAATAGGTATAAAAAAGCTGCTTTAATATGTAGAAGTAGATATAAAAAAGAAAACAATTTTCAGCAAACTCTGGTTTATTAGTCACACGACAAAAATAACTTACATACTTGAGATGAAATGAATCTCAATCTTTTAGTAAACTTAGCTGGAAATGTTCTAGAATGTGACAATATCTACAACTTGAACCAAATACAACAAAAAATAAGTTATCAATTCACAATAATATCCAAAAGGAATGCAAAATAGTTACACATCATGATCATGACTAAAATGCTTAGTTTCGAAAAACTAAACCAAAAAAAAAACAACTTACTGTAGTCAAATTTTAAGCATTTTTGAATTTGGCGCGTTTCCTCTATTTGTTGCTACTCTGCATGTTTGGCAACGTTGCTTGGCATCTGACGTTAGTGACATCCGTTATGTGTCAATACTGCCAGGTATGCTCCTGTCTAATTTTGGCGGTATCGCCCTTCTCTCCCATGATTATGTCGGGATCAAGACGCACAATTATGTTCCCCGTAAGTTTGCTTAATTAAACGTTAATTAGTCGATTAGTGTTGTTTGATTTTATCGTGGCAACCAAAAGTAGTATCCCTCCACCATTATTTCGTCTTTTACTACAGCTCAGGTGTGGGGTTGCACGATAAAACACATCAACGTTGTTTTCGAGGTTATGTATTGAATTTATGATGAATAATCCGAATAATCCCACAAGTTATGACGACTCCGAGGGCATCGCTCAAGCAGGGTTTGATAGGCCGAGTAGCCCTACGAATTTTCACGATGCCCAGGATACAGAAAACACAGCACCCAGTGCGACAATCAATGAGATTGTACAGGCCACAGTCAGGGCCATGATTTCTTTCGACAATCTGCGTCAACGTGATCAGGACAGGCAACGGGCGCCCCAAAAT